CCGGCACCCTTCAGATTTGTTTAAAGGGGACATTTTTGAACCGGAATCCGCGAAGAAACCGAATCAGAAACATTTTTCCCCAACGGGAGCGGCCTCACAGCCTGAGTATTATGGCCAAAGCTAATATGTTCATCTATAGCAAAGGCACCTTACACCGGATTCCCCAGACCAGCGAAACGATCGGAAAGTCAGTGTTCATTCAGTAGCGTATCTGTGAATTATTAATGTTACACACATGCACTTACCAGCATTAGCATTACTGACAAAAAGAGATTTCATAGAATTTTCGTGAGAACACTTCATCATAATTGTAGTTTGCTATAGTTTAATTTTTCGTGGCACAATTTTAAACCTTTAGAGATGCTCTAAACGTCAGTGTAATTTTAAATGAAATTCACTTTTTTTTCATACAATCAACCATATCAGTACCACTACACATCAGCTCAGTTGTACCATTACAGATGTATATTTAAATGGATTTTTTTATTGTTTGCAATGTCATTTTATTTCACCTACTTGTATAAAAGCGTTTAAAACGTAAATATTTTGTTACTACTATTTAAGAATTTTTTTTGTTATGACAAACAATTTTGCTAATATCAAAGTGTGTGGCTGTAAATGTTTTTATTTAATGTTAAATAATAAAAAATTAAAAAAGGTTATGGTTTTTAAAGTTATTTCCTGGACACTCCTTATCATGCGACACCACCAAAGAAGTCTCTATTCTATTATTTTATACATTCCAGTTTGATGTATTCTTCAACTCTATTAATTGGTAGATGGTAGAAAGAAAAAAATATTGAACAAAATTATCAACAACATCAACTGGAGACTAGTAACAGATATGAATTAAAAAGACTTGATAAACGAAAGAGCAGCAACAAGTGGTGGAACAATAAAATTATTGACACTTGATTTACAGAAATGTCTGCCAACGCCTGTTCTAAGTAACAAGCAGAGTTGCTATTAGCTCAAGTAATGGACATACAACTATTCGATTTCAGACACTTCAGGTAATGTTACTTCTTGCATGATGTGGGATGAATCAAAGTCTGGACGTGATGCAAACGAAATGGCTTCAGAATTCTTAGTGGACTGAAGCTATAAATGAAAACGTAAAAGAGATTACTGTGTGGTCCGACAATTGTCCATCCCAGAACAGAAATATGGTAATAGTCATGCTTTACTTTTGAATAATTCATAAGAATCCATAGATAAAAAAAATAAAGCACAAGTTTTTATTACGTGGGCATGCCCATTTAGAAGTGAATAGTGATCACTCCTCTTATTAGATAGAGAACGAAAAAAAAACACCCTTTTTAAAACTCATGACTCACTGAGATTGGCAGCACCTGGCATGACTTTGCTGCCGTTCTAAAAACATTTAATGCAATTAATATGGAACTAAATGACTTTAAAATGACGATTTTAAAACTCTTAACAACTGCTTAACTTTTATTATAAGGAAAAAAAACCTCAGCAGAATACAGACTTTCGTAATGTCAGACGTTGTCCACTTGCAAGTACGCTAATATAGGATTACTTTTTTTCAAAACTAATTTTAATTCGGACAAATTCCAATCTGTTGATTTTAATAGAAATACTAGACGCGTTGTGATTACTGCGGCCCTGCCTGTATTTCGCGATAAGCCAAAAGAAATATCGATAAAAGAATACAGACATCTGCAAAGTTTGCTCAACCAAGTGAATTTCATAATTTTTACAAAAAATTATTCCACTCCGATAAAATAGGTGAGGATTTATGAAAAATTTCCAAAATGATTTTAAGTAAACAACATACATGATTCTTTGAGGTTCGTTTTGTTTATTCATTTTGTTTTATAAATGACTTGTTTATTTCATTTAACTAAATACCAAGAAGTTTTTGTATAAAGATTATAGAGCTAATGTGATCAATCCTTTCCCATAACACATGTACTTTTCCCAATTCATTTAGGATTAATTTTATTCCTGTTAGAATTTTATTTTCTTTTAAAAAAACGGTAATTATTTACTAAGCCGGAATGCCCCAATTTTTTTGTGAACTTATCCGAAAAAAGTGAAAAAAACCTCAAATGTTTTCTTTGCTTTAAACTATTAAAAGTGCCCAACTAATCAAAAAAAATCAGAAAAAAATACCAAAAAAAGTATTAATGAACCAAAAAAAATTACATAAAAAGCAAAGAAAAGTATATATACATGTCATAATAAAAAAAAAATAACTAAGACATATTAAATATCACTATTTTTTACTGTAAAATTATGAAAAAATTGTTTAAAATAATCAAGATTTTTAATATTTCAAAAACAATATGGCGGCTATGCGCAAGAAGTTAAATTTTATGTACATTTGACATTGTTGCCAGTTTTAATTTCATATTTTTCTTTATATTATTATTATTAAAAATGCAAACCAATAAACGAAATCTAACCCAATAAGAAAACATGACAATAATAAACTAAACCAACCTAATCTAACGCTCGTAAAAAAGCAGTAATAAGAATAACATTTTGTAATATAATTAAAAAATCAAATTTTTTATTTTTCATAAGAAAATATGATAAAAAACGTAAAGAAACGTAACCAAACCTAAACCTGACACTTGTTAAAAAGCTATAATTTTCAGTTAAAAGTAGGTAATAATAAAATGTTTTTTTAAATGTCTAATTTGAAATTCATTAGAAAACATCATTTTGAATAACTGGCAACACTGGTTAAAATTACCATTTTGACCATAAGAAACAGTTTGTCCTTCCTGTCATTTCTTGTTGTTTCATGGTAAATAAATGGCGACGGCTTGTAAAAATAGGACATATTTTAAAATGGAAAATTATATAAAAATAACGTCTTGCACCGCATAAAAGTCATTGCACAATCATTAGTAAGTGAAGCAGAATTCATTAATATAAATTTCATCTCCGTAAACATGGTTCCGGCTTATTACACTAGTACCAAAAAAACTTATCAAAAACTCTTTTTGAGATTTTTTTGTTCGTGGAGCACGAGACATAATAAAATTTTATTAAAACGAAACTAAATCAACTCGAACACAAATAAACTGAAATATAATTTTCAATAATAATAAAATAAGTCAAGCAGAGTGTCAATTTCGTCTTCTTCTTAAGTTTTTGGCCTCCAACTTTTAGTTTTTTGGTAAATTTTTAACCTTATAAGTAATTTCACACCATTCACGTGCGACGTTGCCGTATCTGATCGAAATCTTTTTAGACGATTCCTCTAAAAAAAATATATTTTAGCGGTCCTCTATAAAATTTTTTATAGAAGTAAATGTTACCCAAAACTTTAAGAGGACCGTTTAAAAGTTAAATTTTAGAGGCCTCTTAAATTTAACGGAAATGTTTACAGAATACACCCCAAAGTAATATATAGTATCATTTATACCTATCAAATAGTGTCCATCACATATTTGAAGAACAAGAACTAAAAATTCTATTTAAAACTTACTGTTTATATTTCTTTTAAACAGATCCTTTTAAAATTTCAATTTTGTGAGTTTGAAGCAACCTTATCAGAAGGTAAGTTAGACGGTGTAGGTAAAATTTTAGTATAGTAGAATTTAACAATAGATCTAACACAGATATAAAATCATATTTTCAGTGAATAGACAAAGATAACAATCATATTTCCCCTTGGTCTCCCCTCCACATTCCTCATGCACGCCCATTAGTGAACGCCAGACGATTATTTCCGATCCAGCTTATTGACAGGATTGCCTTATACATTTTTGAATTAAAACATTGAATTGATTAAAAAAATTGGCGATCAGTGGCGCGATTATATTGCCATTCAAAACTGGATGATGATATTAAAACTGAAACACTAATTGACATAAATACTGGTAAATCTATGAGAAATATACAGATTCGCATTTTTATTTGACGAAATTGTAACCTAATTTCCAATTAAACAAGATAATTTTGGCAACATCGCCATTCGTCCCTTCTCTTCAATGGCAAATTGCATACGAGGCAGATCGAACATTATGCTGCAGATGCTAAGAAAATACGCAGCTGCGAATTAAATAAACAACTCTAAAATGGTTTACATTAACATCCAGCAATGCAAATAAAATTATTGACAACACTTTTGGGTATTTTAACTTGAACTATACGAACTAACAAACATGGAAAACATTACAAAATGACGGTATTATAGTTTGATTTGATACAGAGCAGCAACAAGCCGCATATAAGTATTTCGATCTCTTTAGATCTCCTCAGTACGTATAGTTTAGTTTATTAAAAATAACTATTTACGGACGTAACTACGCCATCTAAGAACAAAAAGAGAAATCATACGATTTCTACCTGGCGAAATCGAATTCAATGATATGGAGTAGTAACTATACCGTACTGAGGAGATCTAAAGAGATCGAAATACGTATATGCGGCTTGTTGCTGCTCTGTATCAAATCAAAATATAGATTATTTACTTCATTTGGAGTACCAGAAATCGAATTCACTACGAATACAGGCCATGATGAACGGGATTTGGAGTGCAATTTTTAGACTTCCTTGCCGATTCATTCATCAAGCTGCTTGCTTCGCAAGTTTTAGGGGGCACAGCGGCTTATATTTGAATTCGATTTCGCCAGGTAGAAATCGTATGATTTCTCTTTATGGAAAACATTCTTCGTTTTTTTTTTAAAACATATATGAGGGAATTTGAATACATTACATATACGGGGGGATTTCAATATATTTTTAAGAATCAATGAATTGCAAATGCTACAATGGTACGAGGCAATGTCCATCACCACAACAGTTTTCTCTGGAAGATTAGAAAGCAGCTTTTCCTTAAACCATTGTTCAACTATAGGACCATCCATCTCATCGTGATAGTCTGCTGCGTTTTTTAGTGAAATCCAAAAAGCAGCACATTCCACAAAACCAAATTGGGCTTATGCACAACACTCATAGCATCGGCGCACTTCTATCGTCCATAAGAATTCTAAATTGGAATTATTAAAACATACACTAAAATAAATTATTTATTGCTTACATAATTTTGGAAATTACATTTATTACTGGTGTATAATAAAAATCAAAAGAATATACAACATACACATGCACAAATAAAATAATTACATATTATACAAAGTGTTGGTAACAAACAAAAAATGTTCATAAATACTTTCAGAGTTTATTTAATATTGTCTATACAGTTTAACTTCCTAAATACCTCGAATAATATAAACTCTTTAGAAAAGTGAACTACTATTTAGAACCATCTATAAACGTCTTTTTTATTACTCGAAATTTAAAGACAGTAATGTACATACTCAATTGGTGACTGTAAGACTAAGTCTGTGGTAGAAAATTTCCTACATTACTTTTAGTACTAATATTTATATACAAGATATTTCCGAACTTATAAATTCCAAAGAGAAAAGTATTTGACATTCTCTTACGTTACTAAAAGAAAATGGCAGTGGAGATAAATTTTGGGGGTAAGTGTAATAGTCACTCTAATTTCTGCTTTATCGCAACAAAGAACTATTCATTATTTTCTAAACTCTTGTTTTAATTTCTGCTATGTGGAGATTTCTGTTTAACGAAAACAGTTTTGCGGAAAAATGTTAAGTCTTGAGGAAGTCTTCACTATTCGTTATTATTCTGTCCAGTATTGGCACATTAACAAATTGTGACCACTTGTTGCATGAACGGTTATTTATGTCATTAACATCTCGACTTCTAATATGAAATAACAAATTCATGAATGAACTATTAAAAAAACTTCTTTTTTACAAGGAACTGTTTTGTTTAATGGTCAAATAGTATTTTTGTTGTTAATTTATTCAATCCTAATATCTTGGCATTCCTGTACATCACTAAAAAATATTTATAAAAAATCTTCTCCCCCATATATACCTATAAATGCCTTGTAACAACTTATAAGTCCAGAAAGATCCTGTATACAACGAAAACTATTACATATGACTCTTATATTTATCACATTAAAAGCAATATGCTAATTTTTGAAACCTAAAAAAATATATTTCCATTAGATAGATATTATCTACTGTTTCATATATGGATATTCGATTTCTGTTAAAGGAACAAACGTTTCTTTAATAGCTTGTGGATTTCCCCATCTCAGGACGTAATGTGGTCCACCAGCCTTATCGTTCGTGCCTGAAAAAATAATCCTTTCGTTATTAAATCATTGTTACTATACAATTTTATTAAATTTTTGTAAGTATCAGGTTATTCCCAAAAACATCCCTCCTCGCTTCATAATTTGGCAATAATAATAATATCTTATGGCATTTTTTCCGGGGAATCCGCGGATTTTAACCAAAATTATATAATATTGTACATTGTACCTTAAGAAAGTAGCCTATAGCGATTTTTTTAGTCTCTATGTATCCCTGGTCCTAAGATATGCCCCTCAAAAGGCTCAAAAACAGCCGTTTGTATCCTCCATTTGAAGAGCTACAGTCCCTGCTCAATTTATTAGACTTACCATAAAATTTCAGTTTTTTATTTCAATCGCACTGAAAGTTGGATGCTAAGGTGTTGAATGGGTTGCATAACTATTGGGTACATAGTTACATAGAAAATGGAATAAATTTTTCTTAGAATTGTCAAAAATTTACAGATGAAAGTAGATCTAACACCGTTAGATCTTAGAAGGATTTGACTAGCAATCTAAATTTATATTAAAGGTGGTAGCATATGACAAGCCAATATATTCTTCAATAGAGCAATTTCATAAAGTATTTCTGAATTACTTTAGTTTCTGGAGAAGAAAATACTTCCCACCAATACTGGCTGCCTTCCAGAATACGCTTCATGCGATTCATGAGGTGGCACATAACTCAATATTCTCTTGTCACTCCTTTCCGCTTGATTCTCAGATTTCTCCAACGCTTTATGAAACTCTCAACCTGGGGAAACGAAGGTAACCAAGCCAAGTTTGTGTCATGGTACCTTGATAACTGGTCTGAATATAAACTTATCTTTCACAGATGGATCCCAAGACGAACACAGGAAACCATGGACTCCAGGATTGGCGTCTGAAACAGCCTTTCGTACTGCATCAGCTAACACACATACACAGGGAATTTCCTCATAGAGAATGTGCAGATGGTCATCGACGTTTTCGCCTGAAGGGAGAGGTGTCATAGTAGCACATATGGGGGAGGCTTCTATATATTTTAGGAGACAGATGATATTTCCTGACATCCACGTGACGTCCGTGTCACATAAAGAAAAAGGCCGTTTTAGTCTGTAGGTTATGGACCCCAAGTTATACGTCCATAGTTGTCTTAAATAATATGAGAAGTTGACACATTAGCAGTTGGCATAGTTTTTTGCAAGTCGAAGATGATACCAACTTTGATAGCACCCTTTAGGTCATGACACTCATTTTTTGCTGTTCTTATGACTTCCACCTTATTCAAGTGTAAGTCTTTTTCTCTCTAAGCTAAAGCTTTTTCTCCTGCCAAACCGTGATTTATTTTTATCTGAAATTCGTTATAGGTGTCTGTAGTTGGCCTTTTTCACACTAAGGTTGAACTGAGTATTAAAAATATTTCTGTAAAAGCTTTCCTTTACAGGTTTTCCTGTTTTTCATCCTTACAGAATCACGATAAAGTTTGTGACATTATTATAAATTAACACTCCTGAGGAAGATACTTCCTATTCGGAGTCTTATTGTTTAGTGTAGTGGTTGTGTACCTAGGCAATTTATTAATAGGTTCTTTTATGATTTCAATTGCCTTTCAGAAATTTTGTTCGGGTGTGATTTCTTTTTATGTCTGTGGCCCTTCTAAGCCTATGGCATGCCACGCCTTAAAGGGTACTTTTTGTTTTAACTTCCGTTCAATTTTTAGGATACAAATAAACACTGTAATTTACAATAACCTAAAATACTGCAGTTTACAATAAAGTATTAATATAAAAACAAATTAATATTGCTTTAGAGGAGCTATAATATTACTACCCATCCAAAATGATAACAAACTCAACTAACAGTCTGACACAGTGGAACAGGTGTACAAGTGCACTCGTACCTCTTCTCTTCCAATTGGCTTGGAGGTTAAGTAACTTGCCGCTAGATAGCAGCACCTGTTAGATTTATCGCTTAGATTTATTTACCTCCAAATAGAATGAGAGATTTCCAGTTCGGCGATGCAGTTATCTCAATATTCAACTCATAATTTAATACTCCAATTTAAACATTCTTAATGTAGCGTTTTTTTATTTAATGTGTATATAAAAGATTTCTGTAGTACGCTCCTGTTGTTTTTACCAAAGAAAACAATCGAAATAATATTTTCAAGTTTTTTTGACGAGATTTTTAAATGCGTATTAACGCTGGAAATATGTTTTTATCTCTGTGTTGCAATGTTAGGTGAAACAACAAGTTTTTTCTCGCCAAAGAGGTATTAGGTTACATGAAGTCCCCCTAATATTCCAAGAGTCCAAGAACCTATTTGAAACGGTGGTAGACGCTTTTTGCGGATGTGAAATGTTGGGCCATTTTTGAATCAAAGAGGATTCAATATTTTTTTAAATGTCTTTAGGACCGGTCAATGATAATACTATCAGATTTGAATAAATACCGGAAGCTTCTAAGAAGTATGATATAGGATGTCCCCGTAGTCGGCTTGATTCTTCCACCAAGTTCCTGTTCCAATCGTTTTGCCCTGAAGTGTAGAACTAGTTCCTGATGGTTGCTGCCTTCCAGTTTTTGAAAGTTTTGTCCGAGTAGCTTCCCCAGAGATGTAAAGTTTCAAAGTGTTTCAAAGACAGATATTTTTTTGGCTAAAGTAATAATTGCTTTCATAACAAATTAAAAAATTGTAATATGTATGGTTATGCTGTTAATACTTTTGTTCTTTGTCTCAAAATTAAATGTGATACCTAACAGCGTTTTTTTTTTGTTATGACAATTTTAATTTCATTATTATGTAGAAAACGATATTTACATATATAAGGTTAATTTTATTATGTTTTCATTAACAAGGATCCTTAATTTTTGATAAATCTAATTGGCCATAAAATAGAAACCATTTGAATTTTTGTAACAATCTTTAATGTAAACTAAGACATGTAAGTTTTGTTTAGTTTGGGTTAGAATAATCAATAATGCGTATATTTCTACCGATTCAAAAGTAAATATAGATGTTTTTTTGTCTGTGTTTAGATTCAAATATCGAACCTTTTGTTACAAAGTCAGGTAGAACTCCGGTTTAAAATACGTGCTATTTTGTTAATTTGTATTATGTAAATTTATGATGCCCCCTGATAAAAAAAAGGTTTTATTTGTCTTTCATCGTTAGGAACGAATAACAAGGGGAAGATTGTTTGTTTTAAGTTTGTGGACGACAGGCTAGCTGTAAGACGGAAGGGAAATTTTTTGGCTTTGAATTTGTAAAATGTAACGCGGATAAGGAGTCGAGATTTAAGTTCCAAGCAGGGCAGACGTGCTACCATGTAGAGTCCAAGATTTGATTTGAAACGGGGCAGACATGTGACAATTGAGTCAAAGATTTGAAAGGGAGTCGACGATTAGATTTGAAGCAGAGCAGACGTGCTACAATGTGAGTCCAAGAACCTATTTGAAACGGTGGTAGACGCTTTTTGCGGATGTGAAATGTTGGGCCATTTTTGAATCAAAGAGGATTCAATTTCTTTTGAAATGTCTTAGGACCGGTCAATGATAATACTATCAGATTTGAATAAATACCGGAAGCTTCTAAGAAGTATGATATAGGATGTCCCCGTAGTCGGCTTGATTCTTCCACCAAGTTCCTGTTCCAATCGTTTTGCCCTGGAGTGTAGAACTAGTTCCTGATGGTTGCTGCCTTCCAGTTTTGAAAGTTTTGTCCGAGTAGCTTCCCCAGAGATGTAAAGTTTCAAAGTGTTTGTATAAAAAAAAACATTAAGGTAACAATTCAATATATTAATTTTTCAAAGTAAAGACAGATATTTTTTGGCTAAAGTAATAATTGCTTTCATAACAAATTAAAAAATTGTAATATGTATGGTTATGCTGTTAATACTTTTGTTCTTTGTCATCAAAATTAAATGTGATACCTGACAGCAAGCTTTAATTTGTTTTTTTTGTTATGACAATTTTAATTTGATTATTATGTAGAAACGATATTTCATATATAAGGTTAAATTTTATTATGTTTTCATTAACAAGGATCCTTAATTTTTGATAATCTAATTGGCCATAATATAGAAACCATTTGAATTTTTGTAACAATCTTTGATGTAAACTAAGACATGTAAGTTTTGTTTATTTTGTTTTATGATATAGTATGTTTGTTTTGTAACCCATAATTTTGATAACTGTTTGTTAGAGACAAAAATAAATGTTTAATTTGTTTCTCTGATCTATTTTGAGTTTTATTTGAAAAAGATATTTTTTTTTCTATATTTTTGATGTTCTATAATTATTTCCCTAGTTACAACTAGTGGTTGTAATAGGTATAATTAGGCACCTCAAGTGGCGCCCTATATTAAATTTCTTGAGGTGTTTCCGTTTATTTTCATTCTGTTTGTCCCAAGAGATTTGTATAAGTACCCTTTATTTCTTTTTTTTTGTAGTTGCCCAATCCAACCCCCAATATCTTCAACTTATCCACGACCCAGCTCTCCAACAACCAACTGAGTGCCGTATGCACTTGTTTCGATTATTTTGTTTGCCCAATCTTGTCCCCCCATATTCCTACCCTGTGGTAAGCAAAATAGTCGTTACAATAAAACAACTTACCTGATAATCTAGCACCTCCAAATGGTTGTTGTCCAACAACGCTTCCAGTCGATTTGTCATTAACATAAAAGTTGCCTGCAGTCATTTTCAGTTCTTCGACAGCACTCTTAAGGAATTTCCTACAAAAGGTTTTGGTTAATATAAAATTAAGTAGATACTATACTATGAGAGATGCTTAAAATCTTGAAAGGACTAAAAATACTAACTGTATTTTTAGACAGTACATTAAGAGTAATTATCAATTAAGTTAAACTACGTTGAACTTACTCATCTTGGGCAAAAATAGCTCCTGTGAGAGCAAAGGATGTTGATGACTCTATTAGGTTGAGGGTGTCTTTCACTTTGTCGTCTTTGTAAACATATACAGTGAGAACGGGGCCAAAGATTTCTTCTACCATCAATTTGTCTTTAGGATCCTTGCTCTGGATAATCGTGGGTTCAATGAAATAGCCAACACTAAAAAATACAAATTTGAGTTACCTAACAATATATCAACAAAAGCAGATAAATATTATATGTTTTAAGATAGGTGTTTTGCAATATCATACCTACCTATCATCGCATTTACCTCCCGCAACGATTTCTGTATTAGACGACTTCTTGCCATGTTCTATGTAACCTTTAATCCTGTTGAAAGCCTTATCATCGATAACAGCTGAGGTAAAGGTAGCAGGATCCGTTGGATCGCCAATTTTTAGTTGATTCCTCTTTTCTATCAGTCCTTCCTTAATCTGAAATGGTAAAAGTTTTGAAAAAGTATATAGTGAAGATCACTAATTATAACATTATCAACATTGACATATAATATTATGAAAACTCTTCAAAGACTGTCACTTAAATTGAACTCTCCTCAAAACTGTACTGAACTCTTTCTGAACACACACATAACTAGTCCCTTTAAGATGGTTAGCTCTTAATTGTGACTCCCCCTGTCACACTCTGAAACTGCATTGACCTGAAGGATAAACTAAATGAAAGTATACGATATGGCAAAGAATCTGAGCTGTTTAAAACTAAACACACGCAAGAGCTCCACGAACTTCAAGCAAGTCGCAATGTTTTAGCGGAAGATGGTTTGGGCCATGGCTCGGGACAAAAAAACAAAAAGGCTAAGGTAGTATTTAAAATTCTAAATGAATCTGCTACTTGGAGTGGAATACACTGGTGTATCTCATCGAGATATGAATCAGTAGTACGACAAGGTATAAAGGCTTGCGAATAGGAAATACTACTTTTTTTGGAGACGTCTTACATATTCCTTAATATTTTCTACGTATGATGACGGGTAGACCCAGAAACACGTGTTAGGGAGTGTTAAGAGTCTCAAATTAAATCGAGACGCAACCTTCTTCGTATATTTATCGTCCTTACTCGACGAAATAAGTACAAGAATGATGGTAATTTATATGGGTAACTTGTTGAAGCATAGTGGAATATAAATATTCCCAGTATCGCTCTGAATGACTTGATTAAGCTTAGGTATACACTTTACTTTAATTGCTATCGACACATGTAACTTCATCCTTCCTCACTAGAGGTCTCTAGTAGCATACTCTGGTAATTATTTTCCTATAATTGCCAGAGTAGTCGGTGCGTTTTGGTTTAGTTTGAGTCTCCTTACAAAATTTCTCTGATGAAACGCAACCTTCTTCGTATAAGTTTCTACTTAGTTTGCCCTCTACTTCTTAAATATTGATGTTATGTGTACTATGTGTATGTAACGATTTCATTTGGCCCCAAATTATGGCCTCGTTATAAATAGTTTATGGAAATAGTCAATAATCACCGGGTAAGTACAATAGTAAACTATAAGAATATGGGACGGTAATAACGCCACAATCCAGCAAGGATTTAACTTACTATATAAACAATGTGAATTAATTCAGAAAAAAAAAACATTCAGGGAGAGTTTACAATAGGTACAGAGATCTGTCAATTAGTCTGTTTTTGACAGTATACTAAATTTGACGTCTTTTGTGATCCTTAAGTAATGAAAATAAAAAAGAAAAATTCTTAATTCTGACCCAAGTCCAAAAAATGTCCGCACACAGGTTTTTTGTAATCTAAGAGAAAAAAACTTTTTGTCAGCATAAAAGTAGCAAAAACTATAGCAATTACCTTAGGCCAGAGTGATTCTGGAACGTACATCCTCGAACAGGCGCTGCATTTCTGCCCGCAGAATTCGAAAGCACTACGAATAGTACCGTTGACAACACTTTGCACATCTGCCGTCGGATGGACGAAGTGATAGTTTTTACCACCACATTCCCCAATTAATCGTGGGAAATTTCTGTAAATGTTTATATTATCTCCTACTTGTTTCCATAACCTTGTAAAAGTCCTAAAAATAAAAACTTATTTATATAAAAAGTTATAGACCAGGAAAATAGGCAAAAAAAGTAGGTACCTTGTTTGTGACACTGAACCGGCCAGGCAAACGACAGTTGATTTGAGCAGTATGGACCTCTTTAACAAAAATCTATGTGTTTCCTGCAGTCGATTTTTTAACTTAATTAGTTATTAACAAATTAAGGTCAAAAAAACAGTAAATTTTTACTTTTTTCGTCCATCAGCGAAAAGTAAAGTATTCGAAACAAATTTTTAAGACTAAGAAACTTAAGTCATATATGAACCTTCAAAATGGCGTTTTCTAAATGTACCTATCATAATGGCGTTTTCTACATATTCCTATCGTTATTTGTTGTTTAGAAAGTTGTAAAATAAGTCAAAAATTTCGGTATTTTATAAATGTTAATAACTTTTTTGGGGGGTTTCAAACTGGTGCCCAACGTGGGGCACGAACCCACGACCCTGAGACTAAGAGTCTCGTGCTAGTAGCATAAGTAGCAGATACCACGCTGCTCCCTTAAAAATCTCCTTAGATATTCTCCCTCATCTACAGCAAAAAACAAAAGAAATATCTAAACAGATTTTTAAGTGAGCAGCGTGGTAACTACTACAAGACCCAACATTGTATGTAATATTATGGTTATAAGTTTATTTTTGAAATAGCTAATAATATTATAAAAAACCCAAATTTTTACTCATTTTGAAATTTTCTAAGCAACAAATAGAGATAAGAAAATTCAAAAAACGCCATTTTAAAGGTTATCTTATGACTTATAAGGTTCTTACTATCAAATTTGTTTTAAATGCTTCATTTCTTGCCGATAGACGAAAAAAAGCGAAAAAATTCACCGTTTTCTGACCTTAATTTGTGAATAACTAATTAAGTCCAAAAATTCGACTGCAGGACACATATAGGTTCTTATTATAGAAGTCCATACTACTCAAAACAACTATCGTTAGCCTGGCCAGACGAGGGTCACGAAAAAAAGCATATTTCTCTTGGCTATTATGTTATGACAATCATGTTTATACTTTTATACTTTTTTATCAATTTTCTTGTTTATCACAATTGAAAACGAGGTGATGCCCAACTCGAACACTAAAAGAAGTGAATTTGTAACCAAGGAACTCACTCTATTATATTTAATAGATCCATCACTACAGTTTCTATCCAAAAAACTTTCTTATTTAACCACCTACTTATTAATTTTCTGCTTGTTTATGCAATATTTGAAAAAAAACAAAGCACAAAAGAGAAAGTTGAATTTTTATGCTGTTACATCACTTTTACTTCCTTGTTATTTAAGAAAAAATCTAATATAAAATAAATAATACTCACGGGACACTTCCAGTGAAGTTAATTCCGGCCAAGTGTGGGGATGAGGTAATGGTATCTCCAAATACTGGTCCATCTGCAGGTACAAAATTGACTACGCCAGGAGGTACTCCGGCTTCTCTGCAGATTTTAAAGATTACCCAATTCGAGAGTAAAGCTGTATCACTGGGTTTCCATAAAACTGCGTTACCCTGCGTTAATATACATTATAAAAATGTCACAAGTAATTGTTACATTAAATAGAAAGTGTAATCTTGATACATTTATTCCGCCACATTTATTAAAAAGGAACATAAGTCTAACAAATAGTTAATATCTATTTCTTCCTAGTCAAAAAACTTCTGTAGAGAAGACATTTTTCAGAAGAATATAACACATTTTTCAGGCCACCCCTAAAAATCAGGCCACACACAGTGCAAGAATGTATATGAACGTCTTGCGTTTGGTCATATTGATGTTTTTGATATTTGACAATATTTGAATTGTCAAAATTTTTTATTTTGTGGTTTATTTTTTAAAAACAATAAAGTTGATTAAAAAATGCACTCTGTTTAAGCGAAAGTAGCAATAATAAAAATGTTTTATTTAGGCAATAGACCAATTCCAAATCATTCAACAATTCAAATAGTTTTACAAAATTTTGAAAATATTGGGACCATGATTTCTAGTTGTACTTGTACGAACAATATTGCTGAGGTACCAAGAAATTTAGAAAATCAAACTGAAATAAATGTATTAACAGCAGTAGTAGAAAATCATAGAACAAATTCTCAGACCATTGCAGACCAGTTTATTCATATTCATAATTCCACGGCCTTAAAATTTTTAAAAAGGAATAAATTCCGTTCATATAAATTTCAATGTCATGAAGAACTAAGAGAAGGAGATGCTGAGAAATGAGAGGAATTTTATTATTACATCTTAGAGAGGGCTAACGCAGACAGACAATTTTTAAAAAACATTTTGTTTAGTGGTGCATGTACAGTTTACATTAAATAATGAACCAAATGTTCAAAATTATAGGATTTGATAGACAAGGAAAGCCTAAGGGTATTATTGAAAAGCCATACCCAATATTGTCGAAAAATTTAATGATCTTTAAGTTCACTTGGAATTTTGATTAATAATTCTACTTATTGTTACTGATATTGTTATATTGTTGTGTTGGTGCGAACCTTGTAACTAGCGCCCTCTATGAGAGACACCTATAAAAATCAATTCATGTTGGCTTATAAAAATTCATTACAATGTTGCAGTAGTTTCGCCAAAATCGTAAGAAATTTTTTTTTTTCAACGCCCAAATTTATGATTCTAAAGAAAAATATTTTATATTTACCATAAGGGCTGGAGTGTATGCCAAATTTCCTCCTATAGCTGTAAAATTAAATGGCGATACCGCTGCTATAAAACCGTCAATCCCACGATACCTCATGGAATTTTTTGTAACTCTTGGGTCTTCTGATATGGGTTGATATTTAGTTGCTTCCTTTAAGAAATAGGCATTCAGTCTAAAAAGGAATTCATAATCAATAAACAGAATAAAAATTCATACAGCAGTTTCCACTTCGAAGTAAATTTGGGGAAAATGTTGCAATCGTATGCTATAGTAAGAAATATATTCAGAAAATACAAAACTACAGGTTCGATCGTCACAAGACCTAGAAATGTACGAAAAAGTAAAATAACTGAAGCAGATCGATGGACATTAAGACTTGAACGAATAAAAAAAGCTATGAGAAAACATGATGCCAGGTCCGTCAACGAATTGAAGGAAAAATTGCAAGAAATCTGGATTCGTTTACATTACATTATCCCATAAGAAATCGCTAATGTCTATTCTGTCATTTTTGACGCGTTTTATGGTGCAGATAAAACGGCTCGTCGGATCGTGACGTAAGAGGGCTCGTTGGAAAGAGGAGGAGGTAACGAATATGTTGAAACAAAAAACAGACACATCGAAATTGCCAAAAGGGCACTGTATCGTATCTTCATTGTTATTGGTAAGATTTTGTTAAAGCGGGATTGGACATCGAGGGTAACAGAAAAACAAACATGACAGCATTGCCAAAGGGACACTATATCGTATCTTCGTTGGTATTGGTCCGATCGGAGCGTGTGATACGTCAATTGAAAGGGAATTGGACACCGATGGTAACAGAGAAAAACAAACATAATGATTTCCAACATTTGATGGAAGGAAACCGAAGAAGGAGCAAATCAAAAGACAAACGAGTAAAATTTTGACGGCATGCATATTGTAAAAAATGCTGTTCTCTTATATCAAAAAATATATTGATTGTACGAATAATTTCAGTGAGTAAATTAATTGATCGACAATCGGATAAAGGACCAATTGATAAACATTCCAGATCCTAAAACACAAAATAAACACTTTCAATAGCTAACGTTAGTGTTGTTAGTAATATAATTAGAATTAAGGTAATGCCTATATTAGACATTTCTAAATATTCAGAACAGATTATCATAAAAATATAATTCAAATGATTGTATACTGATATTTACCTGAAAAAGTCAATCAGTTCCGCGGCCGAATCAATTTCAGCCTGTATCATAGTTTTTGCTTGTCCCAACATAGTAGCAGCGTTCAACTTGGCTCTGTATTGATTGGCCATCAAGTTTGCTGCTTTGTCCCAAATCTTTATCCTAAAAAAATCAATAAAATATTTTGTTTTAAAATACTTTGGTTATACCGAAAGAAAGCAAATTCAAGACCAATATGTTATATTAAATTGCACAACTTTATGAACAAAGCTTAGGAATCGATTATGAAATCAATTATCGAGTCGAATCAAATATTCGAATCTATCATCGAATTGTTTATTGATTCGAATCGATTTCGAATGGAATCGATTATTGAATCGAATCAATCGATATTATACGAATCGAAATATCCGAGAAAACTATGTTTTCCTACGCCTCAAGTATCACTCCCGGAGTGTCATATCCCATTTTTTAAAATAATTTATTAATCTAGAAACAGTTATTTATTCTCAAAACACTTGCCTTTCTGAAATAGGTACAGCATCCCATTTCTTCTGGGCTTCACAAGCTACATCTATAGCTTTTTTAACAAGATTCTTATCAGCGTAATAAAATTTGGCTAATTTTTTCTTGTGATCATGTGGCATTACCTAAAAAATAACCGAGTGTGTTATACTACACATAAGTACTGTATTATATATATATTATATTATAAATGGTCCATTGTTATGATATTATTTATATACAGAAAAATATGGACATATTATACAAATTTTTTTCGAAACAACGGCTATCCTAAACATATTTTAAAAAAAACATCATTTACAGCAGTAATTTCTATGATGGTCCTGTCATTGATTCCAACAATGAGTCAATCAAATATAAAAAACTCCCCTTTATCAATGGTCTAACTCATTCAGTCACATCCATATTTAAAGAGTTATTAATATAGCTAAATACAATACCATAAATAGAAACAACTTTTTTCCAAAATTAAAGATCCAGTACCAACCTTATATAGGAGTAATGTGGTATATGAAATACCGTATCTAGGATGTGAAAAAAGCTACATTAGCCATACGTCGCGAGTGGCTAAAACAACGTATCCACACAGCACAAAAGTGGATTGCCGCTTAGGAAAAAAAATACTTGAGCAGTAGTCGAGCATTATAAAAACACCGGTCATCTGTTAGACTACAACAATGCTCGTATTTTGGCACAGACTGAAAATTACAAAAGTAGGTTATTTTTGGAGATGTACCACATCAACAAAAATAAACAAACTTTAAATTATAAAACAGACACGGGGCAATTAAGCAACATATATTGCAATATATTGAACAAAAATTTAAAACTCACTCACCTTAATGATTAATCATACTAACTAGCCTTAATAATTAATAAAAGAAATAATATTCCTCTAATGTTTTCTTACATTGTTAGTTTTTGCATTTTAAATAACTTTTAGTTGTTTCCATCTTATTTATTGTTAACGAACGTGCTCAAATATACAATATACTATATTTTAACATGCATTTTATTGGATATACATATACATTATCAAAAATGTTATTTTAATGTCAAGTTTATTTATGTGTGAAATCTTTTAATTTCTGTAAGTATTGTAAATCTATGTGTACGTCAGTTTTTTGAAATGTTTGTTTTTTACAGTTACTCCTGATGAAGCTATTAAATAAATGGCGAAATATTGAGCTCTAAAAAAAAACAAAGATTTTTATTTAATATATAGACCACATAACCCGATATTTCCAACATACTTATATAAATTGTTTTTTGGTCGAAATAATCACGTTATATATATATATATACAGGGTGAGTGGGGAGGAACGCACCAAACTTTAAGACTGTATAATATACGTAAAAATAAGTAAAAATAACTCATATGTTGTTATTCGATTTTCATTTGTTTTCGAGTTATAGCGATAATAACACAAAGTTGTAATTTTTACTGCTACTTATCACATTGCTGTAACAGGTATCTGTGATTCGTTTAATAATTAGTTAACTGTCATAATAGTGTAGTGTCAACGTGATTTAATGTCTATTTGACAGTCTGTATAAAAAAAGTTGTTGTAAAATGCCACATACTTATTCAAATAGTGATTATGCAAATATGGTGTTTGTTTATGGCTTTTGTAATGGAAACGGTAGAGCTGGCTGTTGAAGAATATCGTCAACGGTTTCCAAATCGGAGAACTCCAGATAAAAATGTATTTTATTAGAGTTTTCAACAAACTATGCGAGACCGGAACGCTTCCTAGTTATAAAATTAATATCGGAACGTGCTCCCCGACAAAGTTTACAAGAAATACAAAATATTCTGGATTCAGTAGAAGATGATCCAGGGATCAGCTCACGAAGAATCGGTACTCATTTAGCCATTCCTCAAACGAGAGTAATTAACACACTTCACGAGCAAGGTTTATATCCATACCACCTACAACGTGTACAGCACCTACAACCAGAAGATTATGCCAGCCGTATGCAATTTGTCGATGGATAAATAATAATCGTCGTGTTATATCCCGCATACTTTTTACCGATGAAGCAACATTCACCAGAGACGGTATTAATAATAGCCGCAACTCACATGTATGGTCAGATGAAAATCCACATGCAACAATTGAAGCTAGTTTTCAGCACAAATTTTCGGTAAACGTGTGGTGTGGTGTGATCGACGGTTATTTAATTGGCCCTTGCATATTTGAGAACCGCCTTACAGGAGAGGAGTACTTGAATTTTTTACAAAATGAAATGCCAGGACTCCGACAGAACATTCCACTAAATATCAGAATGCAAATGTATTATCAGCACGATGGAGCTCCTGCACATTTTGCTCGTCAGGTCAGGCAACATTTAAATACAAAATTTCCAAGGCGTTGGATTGGCCTCCGAGGTCTCCAGACCTAACACCATTAGACTATTTTTTATGGGGCTGGTTTAAAAATGAAGTTTACAAGGTAAAAGTCGACACTCGCGATGCACTAATTCTCGACGCATTAAAAATGTTGCAGCCACAATTAGAGCAAACCATGACGCAATCAGAAGAGCAACGTTGAATGTTCATAGACGAAGCAGAAAATGCTTACAGGTCAATGGTGGTATTTTTGAAAATTTATTATAAGAACATTTAACATTAAATTAATGTTAAGTTACAACTTTGTGTTATTATCGCTATAACTCGAAAACAAATGAAAATCGAATAACAACATATGAGTTATTTTTACTTATTTTTACGTATATTATACAGTCTTAAAGTTTGGTGCGTTCCTCCCCACTCACGCTGTATTATATATATATATATATATATATATATATATATATATAATATATATATATATATATAAACAGTCACCAAAGCCACTTTGTCGTATTACAAAATAACTCCAAAATAATCATAATTAAAAAAGTCCTAAATTGTGACTGGCAAATTCATTTGGCTCTAAAAAATTAAGCAAGGCATATTTTGACATGAAACAAAAAGCACATTGCTTAGGAGACATGGTTGCAATCGAAAAATAAGGTTTTACGAAAATTTGCAAACGGAATTATTCCACAGAGATGTTTCAAAGTTAGGATAATAAAACCACGTTTTAATCAACTCCGTACAAGTCAAATATAAAATTTTATCAAAAAACTGACTATACCAACCCAGTGTGCTAAAAAAATCATCAAAATAAGGCTAAAAATAAAAAAATAATAAATAGTTTGAATTTGACCAAAATTTTCTCCGTAGCGTTTTTCTTTGCATCTGAGTATATTTCATTTCATACAAATATTTTAAAATAAAAATTGGACAAATCGATCCAGTCGTTCTCAAATTTTTATAAAAAAATATATTATATAAAGTTTTAAGTGTATTATGTATTTTACGGTATACCGCAAGGTTACTACACCCGTTTTGATTTTTTGAGTCAGGCTAAATAGGATTTCGGTTCCGTGTTAAACATCATACCGAGCGATAAGAAGTAGTCATTTTAAAAATTTCACAATTGCAATCTACATACATGTGACAGTTTATGTAAACATACACTATGTAAGTAAGAGAAACCCAATGATTTAAAAAATCGATATTCGAGTTCAGTGTCGATCAGGAGATCATACATTTAAAGGAGGTTTACGATCTAGATTGAATAATTCAGTGGTATTCGCTACGCTTTATGAAATGTTACAATACATAATACAAACGGTCAATAAATTAAGTATTGTCGGTTGGATGCGATGCAGGCATATAACCATAGAAGTCAGAACCACTTTTTTATCTTCAATACCTATATTTTTTAATACAGAAATATTTTGATAAAATATGTTAAATATGAACATGTAACAAAAATAATAATACATAGATAAACAACATGTATTTTTTTGTATATGTCACACTAACAGTAAAAGCCTATAAAATAATGATATTCATTCGATATTATGTGTTCTGTACAGAAAATATAAAAAAAAAAACAATACAAATAGTGATTTCCAAAGCCACCGCAGATTTTCAGATAACTTACAAACATCGCTAAAAACTCTAAGACAAAGTTTTGAAGCAAATGTTATTGAAAGTGGTAACATTAAAAAAGTCTACAAATACATACGTTTCTCTCTGAGGTCTAAAGTTTCCATTCCTCTACTTCAAAAACCAACTAGACTTTATGCTCTCTAACAAAGAATCTTCCGAAACTCTCTCTTTAGCATTTTCACAGGTTTTAACTAAAGAATCGAATGATGGATATCTACCTGCTATTAATTGTAATCGTGTCGGCGCATCCAAAGATGCGCAGACACGCTTGCAATACCTTAACGTTAGTTATGCAAACTTCTTTCATCCAGAACTCCTTATCCCCCAGTTGGAAATTAGCATCCGTCACCCCTATTTTTAAAAAAGGCAACAAACTCGACCCCAACAATTATCGTCCGATTAGCTTGCTGCCAGTAGTTGCAAAGTTATGGAAGTCATTATTTCCGAGGAGATGACCAAATTCCTTCTCCAGGAATATGTTATTCCAACCCAACATGGATTTGTCTCTGGTGGCTCTACTCTAACCAATCTCCCACATTGTGTTAAAGACTGGACGTCATCCCTTAACAGTTCGCAGCCGGTCGACGTTGTTTATATAGATTTCTCTATAGCCTTTGACGGTGTACCTAAGCGCAGACTTTCTACATAAGCTAGAATATTTCGGAGTTCGCGGTACTTTACTTCGTTGGATAGATGATTTACTGAGAGATCGACATTGCAAAGTTAGAGTTGGCAAATCTTTCTCACATGACAGGTTAGTGCAAAGTGGAGTGCCTCAGAGTCCTTGGACCTCTGCTTTTTACGGTTTATACCAGCGATGTTCCTTATTATGCCTCAAGTAAAATATCGTCCCACGCTAATGACACCAAAATATATGCCAATCCAATTACAAAACCAGCTAACCCTCCAAATGGACTTGGACTCTATTTTAACTTGGTGTTCCCAGTGGTTTACTACCTTAAATGCGGAATAAATGTGTAGTGCTTCGAATTGGTAAAAAAATAGCCCACTTGTGTCGTACTTTGTTAACGGACAGCCATTAGATTTTGTTGTTTTCATATAACGACCTTGGTGTTATAGTAAACAGCAACCTAACTTGGTCCGACAATATTACCTCTATTTGTGAACATGCGAACTCCAGACTGTATCTTATTCGAAGGATGTTTTTCGACAGTTTTCTTAATGCAGTCATTCTGCAAACTTTACCTCTTGACCCATACCTGAATACGTTGAACCAACGTGGTATCCTGATTTGGTTCGAGACAAAAATTTTGTTGGAAAAACGTTCAAGAAAAGCCAGTCGAATTCCTTTGAGACCAAGAAGTCCTTTTTATGCAGAAAGACTAACTTCTTTTGAAACTTTCTCCGACAACGTGGAGGACTTAATTAAAAACATTTAAAATATTAAAATTCAATTTTGGAAAATCTCGATGAAATGATTACCATAAATCAAGATGAACGCCTCAGAGGTCATCAGTTTAAACTAAAGAAAGAAAACTTTTCTACAAGATCAAGAAAGAATTTTTCTACCAGATAAGAGTTTTTGAGTGCTGGAATAACCTTAATGATAACATTATCTCTGCTCCCTCTACAACTCGTTCAAAAACAGACTTGACCGTTTTATATTATAGTTTAAAATATTGTTTTTTCTTTTATATAATACTGTTGTGATAATGTTTTTGTAATTTTGTTTATTTACTAGTAGGTTATTAATGAAATTTGTTTGTTTTTGGACATACTAGGGACTTGTTCCTCCGCCCTCGCTTATTATAATAATTATAATAAACAGAGAACGCATCATAACGAATCTCAGAACTTTATATTTAATAGAATGCACAGCGATATTGAATTGCATGACTGGCCCAAAGTAAAATGGCTATTCTATGTTGCTGATTCGAAAGACCATTTAAAAAATAATGTCTAATTTACCTGATATCTAACATCGTTATTCTTAATTTCTTGATCGCCGATAACAATGGGAACATCCTCAGTCTGCGACGAAGCTTCTTTCAATGCTTTTTCTAATTCTGATCTTTCTTTGGACCCTTTCAAATACTGTAGCACAGGTTCGTTCTTGACTGCAAAATCATTGATTTTCATGTCAGGTAGCACCGAAGCCATACATCGTACACCCGCTCTGAAATCGAAAAAGTAAAGAAATTACATTTTAGAAACTAAATAAAGACGGTATTTTACAAATTTATGGGACATTATTGTTTACTCGACAATTATTGATGACAAAATATCAGAAACACTACTTCAGAAATTTTCAGAAAATGCAGTGATAAGTTATTTCGATATTAATACATTCCTACTAAGTTGGAGATTTCCATAACTGCTTTTGTTTTCTGAAAAAGTTCTAAAGTCTCTAAATAGACAAGTTAAGTTATGAGCAAAATAATGAGTTTGACGTTTTGTTTGTTTGTTTTTAAATATTTCCACTAAAAAATTGATGAATCCCTAAATGGGAGTCTTTTTGTAATATCTCATACTACACATTTCAACTGACAAACTAGTCTAAACAGTTGTGTCAAGTAAAAAACTCCCTTCTCGACTTCTCGTACAGTCTTTTTCATTAAAAGTGAAATTCTTTCCAAGCATCATCATTTAAGTTTTTTCATAATGACTAACATCTTTAGGATCGCATAAAATCATTTTGTTTTCTATATTTTATAAAGAAAACTCTTCATATTTCACCTAATTTACCATACAACTAGTTATTTTACAAAACTAAATAAATTCATGACAGGATTGGAATATGTTTCTAGGTTTAGTATTTTTCTCCTTTCATATTTAGCGAAATTATAGAACATAAAGCTACAGCAATATCTAGAACATCGAACAGCAGCAGCACGATTACAAAATGAATTAGTGGGCAACAATTAAACCAGTCTCTTGCTTCGAATCTGCCGGTTTCAGACGCATCAGTTAAATTTTCCACAAATATCTTAAAACACCATTAATATATTTTAAATATGCTTGTCTCCTATCTATTATTAGATCAGCCGGCGAACCTCTAACGATATTTTTAACATTCGAATAGAAAAAAAACAAAAACATATTTTTGTTTATCGCATGCATTTAATCCCATGCACAGGGAACATAATTTACAGCTAAAAAAACACACAAGATATCCGACAAAAATCATGTTCATGAAATGTGCTTTTATTTCTTCATTTTTGCATCTTTTATAAACACACCTTATCTGTATAAGCCATTCCTTGTTTCAAGTTATACGGCTAATTGAAGTTACAACGAGATAAGCTTTTGAGAGGACACAATTTTATTTTTTTGATGTTTGGGGTCGCCACCACTGTCCCCGACCGCCATCTTGGAAAAAGGGCGCAAAGGGGTTTTGCGCTGTATCTCGTAAATTAGTAACCATACAGAAAATTGTATACAACATTAATTGTAGCAAATTAAATTGTCTACAACTTTATCTCTATTACTTTTTATCGTAAAATTGAAAATAAAAAAGTTATAAACAAAAATTGAAAAATGTTTGAAAAAATTTTCTTTTAGGTCTTATAACTTTTTTCTGGTCATTTTACAATAAAATGACATCATAAAATATTATAGAGGATTTTTTATAGAGTAATTTTCTGTACAAATTTGTTTAATTTCATTAATTTTTCTGAATTTTACAGAGCTCCGAAGTTGACAGAGTTCTTGAATACTCGCCATCTTGGAATAAGGGGTGCAAAGGGTTTTCGCGCTTTACTTACTTTACTTACTTACATTATTTAGTTAACACTAATTTTTACATAATTTAATGGTCCTTAAGGCATTAATAGGTTATGTATGTTGTCAAAACATTGATTACGTTTTGTGATTATACAGTTTTATTGACCATACAACACAATGGCAATCTCTGTGACATATTACATGTTTCCACCTCTATATTCATTTCACAGTAGGTACGAATTGTCATAATTGTCAGGTTTGTAAATGTGTCAAAGTTTGTAGGTTCTTAATTAGGTAATATTTTTTAAATTTTAGTTTAAAAGAATTTTAGTGATTTTTTTTCTTCTTTTTTGTCTTATTGTTATAAGCTTTTTGTACAATTTTCAGTGACAATAAAGCATATTACTTATTTACTTACTTATTTATTTGTATTGATATTAAAGCTAAAAAATAACTAAAAAATTCGTTTTAGAGCATTATAATAAATATACTCTAGAAATGCGATTGCAATAAATCTTAATGCCTATATGGTCAACAAAACATTGTCGTTCTGTAATCATTTACAATATTGCTTATCCAGCATTAGTATCATAAGTATTAAAAAAATATATGAAATTAACAGTCAAACGCCTGAATTTGGTATATAATATTTTAATTTGTCCAATTATATAGTTGTTAGGGCTGGTATATTTTTATGCACGTACCAAATACATTTAATTATTTTGTTTTAGGACGAAACGTAAAAAGTCAATATTGCTGACACTTATTTTTAAACAAATAGAGTGGAGAGTTCAACATTTTTATCCAGATCTATCCTCTTTAACCAATTACTAAGGGAGCATAAAATAAGAAAAAAGCTGTTCTTATGATATATCTTTAATCGATATGTGCTCTTGAGCGGAATTTTCCGACTGCATCCTCATGCACCTTGATAAATGTGAACATTTGTTTGTATAATAGAGAAATAGACTCGACAAAAACTATGTCAGGCAATTTAAGTTATATTTACTTAAAGATTAATATTTACTAAACAAATTTAGATAAGGCATAATCTAGGAAATATTTATATACGAGTATAAAAATATACAATTTTGGTATAGAATATCCAAAAAACTTATTTAGAAATAATGTAGGCAATGATATTCTCCATACTTGGAAAATATGTCAAATTCTACAAGGTGATTAATAACTACCTGGTATAACAAACATACAATTTTTTAAATGGGACACCTATATATTTTTCCTATTTATATTCCTCTAATAATTCTTGTGTATAGCATGTGACCTGATTTCAAGGTTAGAAGTTGTTCTTCACGCTTCCGTCTAATTTCGCAAAGTCCTATTATGTCCCATTGTATACTACTCAGCTCTTCTTCGAGTTCTAGGAGTTTATCGTCTGTTGATAGTGTTTTTACATTGTATGTTAGTAGTTTAAATAGTCTGATGTGTTTTCTATGTGTGTGGAAGTTTTGATACGTCAATTTTCTGTCCCCCCCAGAATCCTTGGGACTGACCAAGTTGTTCTCGGTGCAAGATTCTGAACGATTCGTTCTACTTGCCTGGGGTATTCTAGTTTTGAACCTTGCCATTTCATTGAGGGTTTTTTGGCGATTAAAACACCACGCTTGCCAAAACGTGTTGGTGAGTTTGGTAATGGAGTTACTTGTAGTAATAACATATGGTTCCGAAACAATAACTTTAACCAAACATTCTGCAAATAAATTGAGAGTAACCCAAAGAAAAATGGAAAGAGCAATGTTGGGAATAACTAGAAGAGATATGGTACCAAATAGGATAGTGAGAGAGAGAACTAAAGTGACAGATGTCATAGAAAAAATTGCACAAGCCAAATGGAGATGGGCTGGACATATAGCACGTTTAAATGATAATAGGTGGACCAAAAGACTCATAGAATGGAGACCTAGAGAAGACAAAAGACACCGAGGCAGACCACCAAAAAGATGGATGGACGACTTGAGAAAAACAGTCGGAAATTGGATACAGAAGGCGCAAGATAGAGAACAGTGGAAGAACATGGAGGAGACCTATATCCAACAGTGGATGCAAGAGGTTGAGGAATGATGATGATGATGAATAATTCTTGTTCTTATGCCATTGGGTTTTGCATTACTATACACAGTATTTAACAAGTTATGACCATTTTTATTCCGAAATCTCTATGAAATTAACACCATGTGTATAAAGAAGTAATGCATACACAATTATTTATTTTATATAATAGAGTAAACAATATATTGTAGTTTTTACATTGAGGTTAATTGAAATAATTGACAAAAATCTATACACAGGGTGAACTCCAAAACAAAATTACAACTTTTTCAATTTTTTTAAATAGATCACCCTATATTTTATTTTTTAGAAATATTGTAATTATGATACTATTTCATTTTTATATACCATTCCCTATACCTAAACTCATTACTTTCAGAGATCTTTTAAGTTGTCTTCAAATTTCAGAAATACATTCAATTCTGTACGTACAGTCCGTCCCAAACCTTTCTTTCAGTGCGTCATAGTTGATCGAATTCTCTCTAACGCATTAAGTTAGAAGTGACAGAAAAAACGTGAGTCTGTGATTATTACACATAAAACTTAGAAAATGATGTATCGTCCACGGGTATTTGCATATTAAAGCGAATTCTACTGACGGATGTATAATTGGTTGGAGTTTAGAATACGCTAAATAGATATCCAATCAATGATGCACATAAATATAATTTGACGCAGATGGTGTCGATCGTGACAGTACTTTCGCAATGTCAACTGATAAAAGTTGGTTAGAACTATATATTATTTATTGGTTAGTATTTTCAGACATTTTACAGTGAAAATTTAATTTTGTATTTATTGTCATAAAAATATTTTAAATATGCCGAGATATACCGAGAAAGAACAAAGATTAATATTAAAATTACTAAATTATTTTCAATTAGAAAAAGAGATAACTGGGATAACTTTATTATCAGTTTTCTGCCGTTCGTGAAGTTTTAAATTATTCTAAAAAATATTAATAGTGTTTTAAATACAGTTCCCACTGTGTTTCTGATGGACGAAACATTAATACAAGTAGAAATGAAGTTGTTTAAAATATGATTTAGGTAAGGACATCTATAGTTTATTTTTATGAACGAGAGAGTAATTAGCATAATTTTAACTGGTACCTCCGACCACTCCATGGGCGTGCTCAAGATTAATCGAAAAATTACTTTTAATAATTGTAAAAAATAAATGAATTATTCAGTGTTATAAAGTGTTATGCGTATGTAACAAAGTGGACCTCTTTTATCACACATATTAGAACATGACTGGCTACATTAAAAAGGGTTTTAAAAAATTCACATTTTTTTTTAATTTTAAAAATTACAAAAGAGAAAAAGAGTTTTTAAAACCGTCTAAGGTATGTTAAAATAGATGAATAAAAATATTAATATA